CGTGGTCCCACAGAGTCCGAGGCCAGCTGCCGTGGTCCCACAGAGTCCGAGGCCAGCTGCCGTGGTCCCACAGAGTCTGAGGCCAGCTGCCGTGGTCCCACAGAGTCCCAGGCCAGCTGCCCCAGCAGCTCCCCAGATCTCCACGTCTCCAGAGGGTCCGGCGCTCTCCAAGTCTCCAGAGGGGTCGGCGCTCTCCAAGTCTCCAGAGGGGTCGGCGCTCTCCAAGCCTCCAGAGGGGTCGGCGCTCTCCAAGCCTCGAGAGGGGTCGGCGCTCTCCAAGTCTCCAGAGTGGTCGGCGCTCTCTACTATCACAGAAGAGTCGACTCCTCGGCCCTCCACGTCGACCGTACCAGCTCCTCGGTCCTCCACGTCGACCGCACCGGCCTCCAAGACATCCACGTCTGCCGCGGCTCCCCTCCAGGCCTCCACGTCTGCCGCGGCTCCCCTCCAGGCCTCCACGTCTGCCGCGGCTCCCCTCCAGGCCTCCACGTCAGCCGCAGCTGACCCACAGCCCTCCACGTCGTAGGGTTAGGGTTAGGTTTGTGTGACTGAATCCTCCCCTCATGAGGGAAGGTGGGTGCACGGTCCATCCTCCGTCTCGAAGGCCCATTATTTTGTCGAGAAGTCTGTGGGTGACGTTTTCGACGTCTCCCATAATAGACTGTGGTCCAGTCTGTATCATGGTGCAAATCCCCCATAAAATAGGAGTCAGGAGATTAAAGTTTTTACTAAAAATTCACTATAAAAATTCTTATTTTAAAAAAACAATGAAATCCTTTTTCAAAAAAAGTTTTTCTAAAAAAATATATGTGTTTTTTTAGGAGTTTTTCATTTTAAAGGACAAAAAATAAAACAAAAAGTGTGCCGTCGCGACGTTTCGGCTCACTGAGCCTTCCTCAGGCCAAGGCACACAAATGTAAAACAAAAGGCAGATAGATGTTGCTCCACTGACGTCTCATGGAGCACTGATTTATGTTCTGCCATGCCTCCTATTTATACCTAACAGACCCCGCCCACAGACATGCCCCTTGGTCCTACTGTGGCTTTTCATTGGTTGTTTCAACTTGCACAATATGTAGGTTGTTATCAGTCTTTAGGGTTTGTCAATTTTACTGCAAAATGTAAGGCCTTAAGGAGAAGAAAAATAAATCCTGTGGATGGTTAATGTCTGAGGTTAAATTCAGGCCATGTCTTAGTTAAAACAATCCACAAGCGGGACTTCCGGCTGAATGGCGGTGAGATAAGGTGTGTTTGGGTGTGCTCCTACAGAATTAGCCTTTTCTCTGATTAATGCCTGGGCACTTTTTCCCGAGTCTGACAGCAAACAATAGCTAACTTACACACTTTACATAACCCTCCTATTTGGCCATTAAAATGCCGCCAAAACCGACTAAAGGGGTAAGTTCGATCCACGCTCACCTGCGGCCTAATCCTCGTAGTGAAGCCTCGAGCTGTCCTGGATCACCTCCTCCGTCTGAGGGCGACGTAAGCAGCCTTAAGCAAGAAATACTTGTAGCTCTCCGAGAGGACCTTGCTGCTATAATTAAAGCAGAATTCCATGCTGTTCTGGGTGAAAGTCTCTCGTCGATTAATGCCGAGCTGTCCGCCTTCAAAAAGGAGCTATCGTCTGGGCTAGCAGCGGTGCAGGAGAGCTTCACGGGGCTAAAGCTAACGGTAACAGAGGTGGAGAAGTCCGTCTCCACCTGCACTGACGACATCGTGAGCCTCCAGAAAACA